GTAATCTGTGCAGGCAAGCCCGCACAGGGATCTTCTCAGTCAGGTAATCTAACCCTAGATTAGTCCGTTTGTAAGGACGTCATTCGGATCTCAAATGGCGTCGGGTGAGCTGCCCCAGGTGCACATACAGGACCCTATTTTCCAGATAGGTCTTCTTCTACTTCTACTACTTCTCTCTCTTCGTCTCTGTCCATGACCAAACGAAGCAGTTGTCCCGCGCTCGTGATTTCGCTCCACTCCCTTATGTTGCGTAACCACGACTTTTTACGTCTTTCAGTGCGTCTCTTGTCTTCAACCTTTCCCTCATTATAAGTTGAAGCAGTCGGTATCTATCGTGTCGAAGCACGTGACCGAGATATGTAACTTTGCGCTTCTTGATGGTCCACATCAGCTGGCGTGAAGTGTTAATGCGCAGGAGTACTGTCTCGTTGACTTTCTGCATCCAGCTGTAAGCACTCTTATTTCCCGTTGCACACAGCGCAAATAACGTTTGCCACCGCTAAGCCGTCGACTCTAAAGTCTAGTCTACTACCAAATCTCCTTTCTGGTGGCGGAGTTGTAAGGCATGCCCACTTTTCGACGACGATGCGTCTCTCCAGTTCCCAGAAACTGGAGACTGGAGGACTGGAGGATGTCTAGGTCGTCTTCTACTAGCTCTCGGGGCTAGTGTCGGAAGGACATAGCTTCCGACGTAAAGGGCAACTTCAGTGCCCCACAGTGGCACGGTACAATATACGGCGCCTGGCGGTAAGCAACACGCTTGTCCATAACAGTTACAGTGAAGGGCACGGCCACTGCACCCTGAGACATAAGTTGACAAGTCTCATGTGCTACTACCGCTTGGCGGTAGCAAAGGGTAGTGGGAGTACTTCCCTGGACGAACTGTTTCACAAGGAGCTCTAATGCAATTAAATATAATTTTGGTTAGTTTTTTGTTCATTTATATTTTGGTTAAAACCAAATTTGGCTGAAACCTTCGTCGACGCGCAGGTTTCATCGCAACGTGTTCCATCACCGATCGTCATGATCTACAGTCAATTATGTTTATGTTTTTCTCAAATTTTGATCAAAGTCCTTTTCAGCGTCATGCTGGCCTAGCCCCAAACGAAACTAGACGATATAAATTATGAATCCATATAAACTAAGATCGTTTCGTTGAAATTAGTTCTGTCGGGAAATAAATCAGAACTTTCGCGTGTTTAACTCCAAATCTGCCGTCAAATATACCAAAAGTATTTAAATCTCAACGCCGCATATACTTACACCCTTGTATTGTAACAGGAAACACTGCGCGTACGCAGCGCGTCATGGGAATGAGATCCTGCTGGATCGCAGCGTGACTCATCCTCAATTATGCGGAAATGATGCCACATTTGGATTTTATGAGTATTGTTTAAGTCTTAATGTAGATGTATTTCGTTCGTTCTATCCATTGACTTACAAATAAATGGACGACGGGTGTAATACAAAAACCACGAAAAAAATGTCCCAAGTCAATCTATTTAAACGTAGTGACATGTAAAGGAATATGAAAAAGCTAAAACGTTGAATTTAAATTGTAGTGTCATCGCAGTACTGTCTAATTTTGCTTGCTTTCGCTGTCAGTCGAACAAACGAAGACTAAAGCGTGAATGACGCTCTGTATACGATTTTAATGCCCTATAAGTTCGGACACTTTTTATCGCGGACCCGACGTCCGTATAATTGTAAGTCAATGGTTCTATCAGTTGAATATGAATTTTATTTCCAGTTTGTCATGATAATCCAACGAATGGCAATTCTGATTCCCATTCTTTCGTCCAAAAATAAACAATCCCGGATAAAATCGTTGAAGTGTGTGAGAGAAAGAGCGGTAGTAGCCTAACGAAAGAATAGTTGCTTCAGATTAACGATATCAAAACAGTATTGAGTAGCATTAGTTATTACTACATTCCAGTTTTAAAGGGTAAAGGTGCTGGTGAAATTACTAGCACATGGGATTTAGCAACTACTGCCTCAGGGTGACGGGTGCTCTGGCGTGTCCGTCAGATCTTTGCGATTTAAAACTCTGAGTGTTACTGCAATTGCTGTGGACAGGCTTGTCATGTAACACCAGGCGCTTGACCTGTTCGTTCCGTTCCTTGGTATCATAAAAAAGTCAATCGACAAAAGTAAATGAAAACTCTTTGAACGTAGCCTTTTTGTTACTGCTTTTGCACCGCGGGGCTTCCTAAAAAGTAAATTGATGCAAAATTATCGCGAGTCTAAAGTATATCGATTTCTTTATCATTTCAAAGTTAAATCGACCACGCGTTGGCTTTTCCAGTAAAACAACATCCCACGCGGTCGTTTTGGTTTGACAAATAACTACGTGTCACGTAAATTTTGCTGAACTAATCGTCTTTATTTGCAACCGCGCAATGAAGACGCTTGAAGATGCTCGAGGACCTCGGTGGCCTAACGGCTTGCTCTGCGGGCGTTAGATACGGAGATCTCGGGTTCGATTCCCGGTGGTGTTCATTTGGGAAATGAGTTTCTCTAAATCCTGTCCAGAATGAAATCTATTGCTCTGGTACTCATAGTGCAGGGAATTCCCTAGGAGAGGCTAGGTAATTGGCATAGTAAAATAAGAGAAGCATGGTATAATAATTTGAGTATAATAACGCAATTGCGAACCTCCTTTTTTGAAGTCGATTAAAAATAGTAATGTGAAACGCAACGCTGTGATCGATGTGTAGACATGGACTTGACATGAACTTATCTTTATTACACTTATGCAGAAATTAAATATTTCTTCAATATATAAAAGATTCCGAGTATGTCACAGCCTATATTATCAATATTCCCTTGGAAAGGATTATCATGTCTTCTTCCCTGACTGAAACATCAATGAACTGACTGAAGTATCTAGGACTTTTAATCATGAGAATAAATATTAATAGAAATATTAATAGAGTTGCGTGGAGTGGTCTAAAAATACATGTTATAAAACATTGGACGTTCCAAATCGCCGATATAAATACTCGTTCGATAACACTGTGGCATACACGAGTGGTATTATTAGATTGCGGCTTTAAAGTTTGTAGTTTGTGCAATATTATTTTTTTACATATGTACGTCGTGAGCGCGCAATAGAACTACTATCTATTCTACTATCTTCTTCTTATTCAAGAGCGATCCGTCTAAGTTCAACTTTGAGCTCTTAATAAGACACGAGGGTAACACTCTCTAAGACGACTCATTCTGCAAGAAAAAATCCAAGTCGCAGTGTGATACACCACGAGTAGCACATAGCTCTTTCATGCCACATTTTCACGAGCTCAAGTGGGTATAATAGAAAAATAAATAAATAACGCACGTACTCATAGCCCCGCATTGGGGAAACCCTGTATCGTAAGTATCATGGACATAAACAACCACAAAGTACAACCAAACTCACGAGAGAAATAAATGTAGGCCATATAATTATTTCACCCGGCGCAGGAATCGATCTGTCAATGTTATCCAACTTCCGGTAGGAGATTGTACAGCAAGGAGAAGAAGATACGATAAAACGTCAAATTTCGTCTAGGGTTTGCCGCTTTCTATTCTTCGATCTCTTCAAACTGTCGTATCCTTTATACCTTTCAGTTCTTTCCTTCAAACTGATTACCTCCTTTTTCTATTACTTCTGATATTTCTTTATCTCTCTGTGTCATCCAAGCCTCACTGTTAATGCAAAGCTCCAAATGTATATTTTTAGGAGTTTGGTGATCGTTTTGGAAATGTTTGCTTCTAGATGTTTCTTACAGTTAAAAAGCTGGGAAACATGTACAATTGAAAAAGAAAACTTTTTTACTAGTACAAATTCAATACGCGTAGACGGGAATACGCTTGGTTTGCTAGGGTACTACATCCTGGAAGACACAAAAATAGCTGACCCCGCGAAGTGAGCACATCTGTTATATCAAAAGGTTAACCTAAATTGGTGAAACGCGCTTAAAAGTTTCGCTCACGGTATTGTGTTCTCTTACAAAAGTTATTGCATGAATGTATTCAAACGTTACTGTTATTTTATAATAAATACTAGTGATTTATTTCTGCAAATTAATGTTTAAGCTTAAAAACTTAAACCAGAAAGTCTAAATTTCCAAATCAATACTGCTTTTGTTGAACAAGTTATAAAATAAAAAAAAGGAAATGCAAATCAATAACAAACACGTTAAACGCGTATATGACTCAGCTACAGAAGATCCACAAAGATCTTATGCTACTCACACACATGTATAGTCCGCGACTGTAACGACGTTATCTACCCATCTCGCTTCAGGACGTCACACGTGTTTTCTCCACCAGGCATCAATTAAAAGAAGCCTGCATCCCGGGATTGCTTGGTCAATAGCCATTGTCAACGTTTTCGTTTGAATATCGACGATTGAGACACTGCTCCTCCTACAGAAGATTATGTATTTTTACTTTTTATACCCCCAAAAAGTAACTTACCAGGTGTAAATGTATTATGTTTTTACATTTGATTAAGTTCAACACTAGGTTTCATCATACCACAATAGTATTATAGCATAAAACATTTACATATTTTTCCGGTATCTAAATAACGTGTGAAAAGTATTTAAATTGCTTGTACAATTATATCTCAAACGCTTGCTCTGTGAACCCCTAAATCCACTTATCCGTAGAACAAAGACCTATGTGCAAGACACTGCTTATTCTCAGGACACTGTACATTTCTATCGTTGTACTTCGTTGATGGACCGTTGTTCGATTTTATATTATTTCCGAAACGAAATAACATGTAAAAAATCTGAAAATACCTATATATAGGCCTTAGTTTGAATAATGTTATGTATTTATCCTCTTTTCGCTGTATAATCACATCGGACCGTGTTCTTCGGATGTGTCAATATATACTTACAGATACATACAGCATCTTTTCGTTCGATGCCGTAACAAGATTGACGGGAGGTAGTTAACACCTGCCGATCATACTGTTAACCAGGTGTAAGAATACGAATGCTACTCACCCCGCTCTCTTGACTTGTGACAGCAGGCAGACCGTGTTCCTCGTTGAATCTTCTCCTCGCCCGATGCCGTAATAAAGCTGATGCGTCAGGTTGTCCAAATTGAAACACTTGTTCTTCCCTCAAGAACCGTTCACTAAAGTCTGTTGTTACGTACTCTGGCACTTTATCGTACTCCCTAACACTGTCCAGTATCTCCGTGGTCAGACGGAGACTATCCGACGTCGACCTTAACGGTTCTTCGCGGTAATTTTCGCATATCTGGTTAAACGTGTTGAAGTATTCCGTAGCCAGGTCCGTTTTCGGTTGATAGTCGTCCCCTGGAGGTGGTTCAGCAGGGAGAAAACTTGAATCCATGTTTGTGTCATGCAAGGCCATGGTTTGTCATTTTTTTGCGTTTGGTTTGTTATTTAAATTTGAACTTCTTGCACTTGGCCGTTGGACGCATTACTGATTGCACAGTTTTTTAAATAAACTTTTGTTTTTATTGCACTGTTTATATCACTCTTGTTTTTAAAACAATATTGTTGTTAAAGTATTCTGATAATTAAAACAGTTATGTTAAATTCTTTAATATCACCAACACATTTAATTTCTGGTTCTTTGTTCTAGCGTTTGATAAATTTAAAATTAAACTTCCTGTGATTAATAAAAGTAAATATTAGCTGTGTTTACACTCACCACATTGTTTTTAATTCTTCTGTGGCATTCTACACCAACACTAAGATAGGTTTCAACAAAAATGCGGAAGAATCTAGAGAGAACGCGCATTTCAGTATTGAAGAAAACGACAAAGGCCCAAAGCACATCGCCCAGTACACAAATCTTTTATAAGAAGAGGTATTCGAAAATACAATTTTGCATGTATTTCAACATGTTTGCTAAAAATATAACAAATCAATCCAAGATACTACACTAAGAATTTCGCGTAAGCACACCGGCCGTGGCACATCCACTAAGAAGCTTATTAACATTTCTGATTTTGTCCGTTTATCGTAGCATTTGGGCATTGAGATCCATGGTACAGTTGATCAGCGAAGACCACCCAAAAGATGACCAAGACATCCAACAACAAATACGGAATGATATAAAAGTTTGAAAAAAAAAACTATAGAAAATTTACCACCTTGCATCCTCTGGGAAAGTAACCCTATCGAAAATTTGCACGGGAATCTAACTCCGGACAAAGAAGTCGCAGGTAAGCGAACTGCACCTTTTGGGGTGCGACTGATATGTCAATGATTTGAACATGTATAGAAATAAGCACTTGAAAAACAAGTCAATAGAAAACTGATGTCAAAAAATAATTTTAACTAGGTTATTGTTATTATAACATCTGACACGGAAATTGGATACCATAATCAAATTACTGATTGAATAAATGTAGGTTCAAAATTGAGAGATATGCTTGTTGCATAGCTGACCTGATCGCGGAGATCGAAGATACGTATGATAATATTGTACTCATGATATCCGATTACTTGTATTAAGAAATCTCGGTACTAATGAACCACGATAATCATCGTCAACCCATACGTCCCACTGATAAGCACGGGTCTCCTCTCAAGCGAGGAGGTTTGAAACATTGACCCAATGTGGGTTGGAAACTTCACAAGACGTGCGGATTTCATTACAATGTTCTCCTTCACCGAAAAAGGTATTGGGAAACTCAAGACCGCCTAGTGATCTTGAGTATACCACAGCTTCCATGATCAATGCAATAGATTCGATGATGAACATGCTATGAAAGCAATATTCAATCATTCCGCGGCTAAATAATGTGTTGGTTAAAGAGTACGTGTGTTTTGTAACTGGCTAAGTTTAAACAAAAAATAACTTTTTTCCTTTTAAAATGTTATTCTGTTTTAAATTTATATATTCATGAAAAAAGCCGAGAACTTGGTGAATCAAAAAGGTGTCGTATTTCATCATGATAATGCCAAACAACACACATATTTAAATAAGTAATACATTCAGGTGTAACTATGCGGAAGGCCACGTTAATAAAAATGGAAGTAAATTGATTTGCAAAATAGGTGCACTTGTGTTGAATGTTTTTTCATGCAGTTAATTTAAAAATAAATGAAAAAAGTCCCAAACACCACCATCAAAAAATACACCCGACACGTGTTTCGCCTCTCTACGAGGTATCCTCAGATATATTCTTTTCACTATAGCCTTAAAAATGATAACGTGAACGCGAGATGGAGAAGTCCCGAGTTCAACATCTGATAAAACAAATTCCAATAACGATCGTTGAGTAACGAATTCAAAATCGGAACGCCGTAACGGTGGGTATCCATTACGTTCGCGCACGAACTATGTTTCGAACATCTGCAACCGCTCTAATGGAAACGTTACGCGTATCACTACAAGAAAACCGAGTGTTCCATTAGGTTCGCGCATCGACTGCTCCGCGCGTGCAACTGCTTCACAGTTTTCATTTGAACGTTAAGCGATCATGTCGTCCACACAATTAGTATCTAGAGTTACATACATTTTAATTGATTATATTGTTCACGAGCTAAATATTTCTCTTCGGACAACTTCATAGCGAACTTAAAACATCTTAGCGGAGTGTAGAGCGAGACACCTGAAAACATCTTGCTTGCTCGCGTCCACAAACACGTTGCTCCGCTTTGTGTTCGTGCAAAAACCGCCAACGTGCAGCGTTGCATGGGAAAGTATCCACTAATGGAGCAGTTGCATATGCACGGAGTATAGTCGGTGCGCGAACCTAATGTATACCCACCTTAATGCTCTCATTACAGCTCGGCCGCAGGAATAGGTAGAGACAAGCAGCTCTGTAGCTTATTGTGAATTTTTGTCATAGAACAGGAAATTATCTAGTTTGAAACCAGGTCATCGGTGTGGTTAGCTTGCAAAGTTTTTATTATTACCTACAGCATAAGAGCGAAACCTCTTACCGCCGTTGTATTTATCCGGAAAAAAAAGCGTAGGCATATAATTCTACTTTCAATCCCATCTCAATTCGCCGACTTATATTACAACAGCTTTACGGCAAACGATTGAATTTTTTCCGACCTTAGCACATCGTAAATAACAATTTTGCGCATGACGCCGCAGGTAGGAAATAGGGAGCCTTTGAAACAGCGCATTATTACAAAAAATAGTCAAGCCGTACAATGGTAGTAAGTCGAGTGTCAAACTATGTCCATTTCAAGTTTCAAAAGATATATTATGCGTTATTCTTTGACTGAAGTAGACTTGCAAAATTTTGAACTGAACACACCAATGTCAGAAATTAATGAGCGTTCTAAACAAACAGAATTAACTATTTAAGATTAGGTATACTTTGTACATAAATACAACTGGAAGTTTAAACGTATCTACATATATACTTATATCTTGAAATAAATAACTGCGAACACAATATCAAGATCGATTCGGAAAGAAGTAGGTTAAATAGATAGACTCGGAAAGGCGTAGATAAAATACATAATGACTCGAAAAGACGTAGGTGACATAGATAACGACTCGGAAAAACATAGGTAACATAGACATTGACTCGGAATGTAGTAGTTAATTTTGAGATCAACTCGGAAAGAAGTAGTAATGAGTAGATCGCACTTGTAGTGAAGTGGGTAATAAAAGATCGACTCGGAAACTAGTAGTTCCATTTTGAGGTCGACTCGGAAAGAAGTAGTTGAAATAGAAATAGACTATCCGATCGGGACATATTCGGATAAGCCGTATAGATATCAAAAATATTAAATTTTGAATATTGTTTTAGCTAAGTCATGGCGATAACATGTCTCGTAGCTATACCTTCGAGTACCCCCATCAAAGTATCTAATTAAGCATGGTTAATGTATTGTTTAGACGGTCCCTTGTAAAATAAAAGACGCTCAATTTTTTATCACGAATAAGCGTTTTATACAGGCACCACCATGAGACCATGGGAATCAGCTGATCGCGGTGTCAAGTTTCACGACGTCGGTGGCCGCCTCCCAGGTGTGAGACATTACTATCGAAGATTATTACGACAGGATTGATTTCACACAGTGTATTCGATTAACTTGTAAATGTCAATATTGCTGCCTGGTTTTTCGGTTAAGAGTATACATAGAGGTTACAGTATGAGGTATTAACCACTCTATGTATATTACTTGAAATGTAAGTAAATATGCTATGCCTATATTAATATATCGACAAGCTTAAATTTCAGGCAGCAGTAGAGTTCGTCCAGTGTAGTACTGCCACTTCACTTTTTCTGCCGCTAAGCAGTAATGTTAGCATTACTGGGTTCCGGTGCTGGTGAAATCACAGGTACATGGGACTTGTCAACTTATGTCGCTGGGTGACGGGCGCAGTGGCAGTGCCCCTAAGATCTTTGCGATTTAAAGATCTGAGTGGCACCGCAGCCGTTATGGATAGGCGTGTCGCTTACCACTAGGTGCACGACGAAAGTTGAACATTTCGAGTTGCTTTTCCTTACATTATCTTTTAATATTGTTTAATATCATATTAATATGAATCAAGTGTCACAGACTTTTTTCATATCCATGCAGGGGCTTCTTTTAACAACTGAGCCATCGGGGTGATATAAAGTTACTGCAGCTTCAATTTATGCTTACGAGAAAGCTTAGAAGTTACACGACTTCGCTGTAAGTTTGTAATAAGTTTTATATTATTTTCAAAGTTATTAACGAGAAGTGAAATTTTTAAACATACTAAGACATCATGTCTATTTTTCAGCAAGGTAGACAGATATTACGGATTTGGAAACCTAAGAAAGGTTTGATCTAAAAAAATTTAAGAAAAATTTTTATAGATTTTTCACAGAAACGTTAAAAACCAAAAAACAAAGATCTGCAACAAGCAAAAAGAAAAATTCGTAAGGTCTGCTGGTCCGTTCCGTAGCTCTGTGGGGAGAGCGTCAGACACGGTATTCTGAAGGCGCTGGTTCGAATCCAACCGGATACTAAATAAAAGAACCGACCTCAAAAGTCGTGGAATTACATCTATTTGCCAAGTTTTATCGAAATCGGTTACGGAAATCCCTTAGCTTGCCAAGCTCAAAGGTCTTCAAATTTAAATGGGATCACACCCAGGTACCCTTTTTCCAACCAAAAAAGGTATCATCAAGATCAGTTCACAATTGCTGGAGTTATCGCGTAACATTAACACAAAAAAGAAACAGTCGAATTGACAACCTCCTTCTTTTTTTAAGTCGGTTAAAAAAACATCTTTATCTTCTGTAACTTGAAAAAAAAATTGCAAATAAAAAATAAAGGGGGAACGATTATCACCTACGAATTCTTCTAAACACCTGGTCACACCTAAAAGGTTCCGTAGGGAGTTGAATCCAGTGACCTTGACCCAACACCTGTCAGATGGTGCATGTTTACAACATGCAGTTGGTCAATTTGAATACACATACTTTTAGGAACATATGGCAGTCGAGACAGGTGCACTGCTGTGCATGGAGATCTTCTACGTGTAACCTTATCGCTTTAGCGAAGGTCGGTGTAGATGTTTGTTTTCGTACATGTTCAACGCGCGTAAATTCAGCTGCGGCTTTTTCCGTTACATTTTCGTTGCATCTCACAATTTGAAAGTGACAAATTTTTTTAATGAATAACAGACACACGCTTGGCCACGATCGCACCTGATGT